AGCATTACCAGAGGGTGAATGAGCCCGGGGGGCCACACCTGTTGGAACAAAATGGAAGACAGCGAAATCTGGGGTTGCAACCGTCGACCCCAGGTTACAGGGAATCTTTTCCGAACGCAAACGGATTTGTTCCCGCAAATCTTGGAGTCATGGGAACAAACAACGGATCAATGTCTGCAACTAGCCTCCGAGACAAGGAAAATCAGGATAAAATAAGAGGATTAAACAAATCTGGGACCAAGAAAAAATAACAATGAGAATATTAAATAAAATATCCAAGTCTATTAACGTATGTATTTCCAAAGTGACGGTCTCATCTCCAACCTCTGGACCACGATCCGTTTTGATACCCACCTAGATGTTTCCCGAATTCAAGGATCACGGTTTTTGGTTCACCGTATCTCACAAGTTGCCAATGCCTTGAAGTCGAAGTATCGGAATCCACACTCCTGGCCTTGATGGTCACATTTCCACTCTTCTCGCTGCTGGAACCTGGCCGAATGACCAAATGAGGAAGCCGACGAAGCTGCGAGAAAGATTGGACTGCCGGGCATAAGCCGAACCGACGACGACGCCACCATCTCCATTCAATGTTCCGCATGAGGCGATATTCCGGGGAACCTTCGTGGAGGTCCCACGTACGGTATCTGCAAGCCTCGCAGAATGCGGAGAGAGAATGAGGGGGCTTGGCAAAGAGCTCCAAAGTATCTACGTAGTACGACGATTGTGGACCTAACTCGGTATTCTGTCCGCCGAGCGTGCGCCAGCTAGGTAGCTAGTTCGGGAATCGGCTTCAGATTCGCCATCTCTGACCAGAATCAGAGTCAAAAGGTGTTTGGGCGCGTGAGAAGCGTGAGAAACAAGAAATGTGAAAACGTTCATCCGGGGGGGCATTGAAGGGTGGGACGAATGGAAAACGTGAGCGTAAAAGCTAACGAGATCAGATGAGAAGAAGAACCGGAGCGCGGTGGACTAGGACAGACCCTGAATCGTGCTCAGGTTGTGGTGTACATCACTACACCCTTGATTTTTTCCAAAATCTCCTCTTACGGCAAGGTGATTGTAATAGTACGTAAGAAGTTGGTGACCAAAAAGTTGGTTCTTCCTGGGATGGTGATGGGAACGAAAATCAGGGTCTTGACTCTACACTTTAAAAGCCAAAGTTGGCAAAACCCTCTCATGCGACGGTTCCAGTTCCTTGGTTCGGAAGTGGGATGAGTCGTACCAGAAACGGAACGCAAAAGAATACGCTGAAGAAGACGTCAGTTGGAGAATTGGCAAATCGAGGGTTTCCTTGGTCTGTGAATGGTTACAATGCGAAAGCGACCTCGTCCGTTACAACTTTACGGAGGGTGTTCCGAAGCGCTTCTCATGCTATGCCCGCCATCTCCCACCCCTCTTCCCCTCCGCGACTCCAGGGACGGGGTCTGATACTCCGCCCTCCGTGTCACGATGCAGCCTGGCGGACGCCATCTGGCATCTTGTCTCTTTGCTGGGCCAGGTGGGCTCTACACTAGTAACCTAACCCCTCTCGTCGGATTTTCCTGGACGCAGAAATTTCGCAGAGCATCGTGACTTTGCCGGGAGAATCACCACCCCCTCGACTGCTCTGTGGCGGGCAAACGTCCCATTCGTGTGCCAAGGTGTATGTATGTGACAGAGAGTCCCAACCATGTGGATAGGCTACACTAGACAAAATGGAACTCGGTGCGACTGCGGTGGTGATGGCTAACGGAGCGGGCCCCGAAAGAAAAAAAGGAAGAAGAAAAAGTTCCAGGTTCTCCTCCTCCTTCCTGGCATCAGAGACAAATCCACTATTGTGTAGAAAAATGCCAAAGACCTTGCCCATTTCCCCCTCTTTCGCGAAACCTGAATTCGTCCCGTTTGATATCCCACCCCATGTCGCTCGTCTCGTGTCTCCAGGCGCAACAAGGAGGAGAAGATACTTCGGTACGGGAGCGTGACAGCCCTAGGTGTTTGCGTAATAAACGTCCTCTCAAAGGCTGGAATCACTTCGGTCTGCAGGGACCTGCTATCCCCGCTGCCAGGGAGCGGTTCCTCTCGTGATGACCAGGTTCCACCTTGGTCGGGTTTGCTCGGGGCGACGAAAAAAACCGCTTTATTCCCCCCCCATCTCAGGCGTCAAGACATCGTGGAGCTCCATCGCTCGTTGGGCTGCCACGAGGGGGACAAAGAGCTGTAGCCTGTAGGAGATACTCCGCGGTAATCTCCGCTTTTTGCGGTACGAAGTTGGAGTTTACTTGACTGTCAATGAAGAGCCCTCAGATTTTTCGAGTATGCGATGAATGGCCAACTTGGCTCGTGCTGCTGATGCCTCCCCCTCACCTCCCGTCTCCGTAGCTGAACAACCGTCGCAAACCTTCGTGGGACTTCGCTCAAGGCGAGCCGGGGGGGGGGGGCATGGGAGGATGCGATGTGATCAGATCACTGGTGGGGCTCTGCAATTCGTGTTGGACATAGTCTTACAGAAATACTAGCCAGGCAAGCCTGTGGACTTTTCCAAAGACTAGCCTAGCAAACCAGGTTGGAGAAAACTTCAAGAGACAGCCTAGCCGTGTGGCAGTCTAATTCTCCAGGACAGTTCATCGTCCACACCAGTCCGGCAACCCGGTGCGGGTCATCGTGAAAAAGGGTCCAGTCCTGTCAAGCAGAAGTGTCGGTCAGGGCAACAATTCAATAACCATCAGCCGACTTTGTGAGTGGTTGTAGTGTAGTGTACCACTTGAGCCACCATCCCGGGACCAAGTCAGGACCCTTCTTGCATCGAACGTCTCTTCTGAAGGTTGGGTAGCGCAGCAGATAGCGTGGTGACAGTCAATAGGCGGCTGGACCTCTCGAGGAGAGAAACAGGCGAAGCCATGTGGCCAGACAAATTTACCCGAGCAATTTAGCCACGGGTGCCGACTGGTGGAGGATTCTCTTTCTGCCGCATGATTTGAGCAACAAGGCTGCAGAAAATGTCACGCTGCTTACCACTCCGGAACCGCCGCGCCCCCGGCCGCCGCCAACTGGGCCACCGGCGCAGGTGAAAGCTCCGGAGGGTGATTTCCTGAGGAGGTTTGGCGCTTGTTCATAGCCATGCCTTTCGGTCAAACATCCAGACGTCTCGCCAGCGCCATCGCTTTCTCGAGGCTAGAACTTCGACGTGAAGGCTCAATGTCTCGCTTCACCTCACAGATCTGACTTTTTCCCGAGGAGGACCCCAAATGATCCTCCCCGGACGATCTCTCCACGTTCATCGCCGCCCCATTCAGGGACCACCGCTGATCATGCGCCTTGCGCAACATTGTCCCCAGAAAATGGACATGCGATCTGAAAGACCGCGCGCACATCACTTGTTGCCCACCGAAACACGTGAAGATGATTACCGACTTTGGTGAATCCTCTCATCTGGAGTGAACGAGGTCATCTGCTGTAGCGTTTCTCGGTCCCCGTGGGCCGGCGAGAGCCCCTCCTTCCGTCGATTCTGTCCACCAGCCCCAGTAAAGACGAAGATCCGAACTTTGATAGCCTTGTTGCCTCGCTCGAAACGATGCCAGTCGCGGGGTTCAGAGGCACGAGAGGGGGCTGGGCGTAAGCGGGTTTTGCCACCATCGTGCAAGAATCCGATCCTCCGTCCGGGGACACAACGGCCATTTTGTGGGTTCCCCGGTGGCCTCGCTCGCAACTTGCAATGGCCGGTGTTTCCTGAACAGTTAGGTAGTATCACGTGAAGAGACGGACATGCCAGTAGCTGCTACCGGTAATCGCGCGTTCATGGACGTGGGAGGGGAAAGAATTGGAGAATGCTCCGTACGCTCGCGATGCCTCGACTCCCGCTCTAATATTCCGTGCTATCCGCAGACGTTGATACAAGCATTCTCGTGTTACTCAAATACACGAAAGGGGAAGTGGATAAGGGCGCAATGCGAAACTAGGCTTTCGGTGAGTCTAGACTCTAGAAGCAGCCAAAGGGCCTTTGAGCAAGCGCCGAGGATACAAGACGGCTTATCAACTCGATGAGTGGAGGTCCGTCACTCTGGAGGAGAAAGGGAGCAAAAAGGCATAGGAGACGTGGTCAGGAATGCTGGCCTCGCCCGTATCGCAAAATAGTTCCTGGACCCCGAATAGACGAGGCCAGAACAGCCGGCCTCCTTAGCTATCGGGCTGGAATTGACCACCGCGGCTGTAGCAAGCACGGGCAGGGCAATATCACACCTTTTCCTTCCTCCTCTCCTACTCCTCCGTACGAACACACTTGCCTGATTCGGTCTCAGCACCGACTCGGCCGCCGTGTCCTTGTCGTGAACAGGGACTGCTTTACGCTCCCGGGCGATGCCCCGCGACCGAACGACGCGCCGGTCTCTTGCGTGCTTGGACCCCCCCCCCTTCCTCCGCGAAAGTCTGTCGTGGTTGGTGCGCTACAGAACGTTTTGTTTGGAGACTTTCAGTGTAGACAAGGCTGCCTGCGTAGACCACGGGTCTATTTGCCCATCTAGACCTTTTTGCTTGTCATGCGCTGCCGCGAGCGCGCATGACAGAAGCCGACATGACAGATTTTTCCAACATGAAAGGTCGCTCTGCAGCAATGCTGACAGGCAAAAGCCGCGTGTGTCTTTGCGCGCGATGCGATGGTAGGAAGAGCCGGGCAGCAATCGGTACGTTAGGAGATATCTGATGGTCTGAAGGCGAGCAGCTCGCATTCAGTTCATCTCGCGGGATGAACGAACATAGATAACTGAGGATGCCTGAAGGCTGCTGGTGTGTGGCCAGCGCTCGAGTGAAGGTGACAGGGGTCACGGTGAGTCTAGTCTCTCGGTCTCTCCCCCGCGGCTCTCCCATCGGACTTCCAGGTCCTCGTTGTCTCGAAGGCAGAGACAACGCCCGTGTCTCTCTTTTACCCCCTCCGTCATACCGGCCTACGGATCAACGGCCGTCGGATCCAGCGACGGGATTCTACTGGCTAGAGGAGAACTAAACCACATGTAAATGCCATCAGGTTACCCCAGTTCGATGAGAACCCCCGAACAGGCATCCGGCGCCGCCCTTGAGAGATCTCTCGATAGTGGAGAATTGGAGGTCACTAGCTGGTGTGTGCATTCTCAATGTCCCCTTACTGGCTCAGGTTGCGAACGAACCTCCAACGTAGTTGTGTCTGACTCTTTTCTTGCCCGTCCGGCAGGCGATGGTTGTGGATGGATATGATTGACCCTCCATCTCAGGCATGGATCCTCCGAGTCCCGCGGCCCAGGTGCTGTTTTCGATTTTGGGTATTATTTTTGTTACGGGTTTGCGTGGGAATATGACAGCCGCAGAAAAACTCTTTCCAAAATGTGATAAATGACAGCTGACCAGATCCACGGCGTCCATCGGTACCCTCGCGCATCGCGGGAACATCGGTAACAGAGTCTGTAAATCGTGGGTATCCATCCGTAGGGGTTGACGAAGAGATTCGCAGAGATGCTGCCGGCGCATAGGCAGCCGGCCGAATCTAGAACGGCCAAAATACCTGCCTACCTGTCCACCACCCCTCCCCAAACTGCCAAAGTACGAAACATCCCTTCCCAACGACGCAAGAGGCGTTCCTGACACTACCCTCCAAAGCAAACCTGACAGAGAACCCCTGCGAATGAGGGGGGAAAGAAATAGGCAGACAGGAGATTTGCTCATGCCTCTTCCGGCCGAATGTGACCCCAAGCTTGTCTCAAAAACACAGATTCGATGTGTGTGGTGGTGTGCGTGATGTGCGTGCCGCTTCGCCAGGCCTGCCACGCCCTGGCAGGCCTTCCCGTCCGGGGAAGCGTTCCGGCCGAGGTGAAGGAGGTCCGGATGAGTGGGTGAGGAATGCGCGGATGCTTGGGCTGGGAGACCTACTAGGTAAAAAGGAAGAAGAAGAAATGTTTGGCCATACCACTCCATCCAGCCAGTACCGTGCTTTCGCAGCCCTTTTTGCCCATGTTCGTCTCATATCACTTTACACGCCCCTCATGAAGGGGCTCAGCTGGGGTCACTCGGTGAGATTCGTGTTCATGCTTATTATGTGGTCAACATTCCCAGCTTGGAGTATTTGACAGATAATTATTTTTCAAATATTAGATTTAATAGACTCAGACTAACGATTTGTCTTGTGACGCAGAATAAAATAAAATAATATTTGGGTCTCCGTTTTTCATTTTAGTCAACGGAATTCCTGTCGGTGAACCCGTGATATTCAATTGACGTTATAGTTTAACGACAATGACACATGTGGCATTCATGAGGCTTCTCGATCTGGGTCTATTGACGTTTGACACTTTGCCATTGTTGATGCAATGAATCGCTGTACCTTACAGAAATGCGGGCAAACATACGGATACATGTTCAAGCTACCACCAGAGTACTGCAGATCATCAGCTCGGGAACCACTCGGTGTTCTCTTATTACCCCAACTATTTGCATCATCGATGAACGCCGTGGCCACTTCAAGATCCGTTCCCAAGAGCTGGTCTCTCGCCAATCTGGCAGTCTCTCAAAGTCTCGACCTCCCATGGTACAAGCGTCTACGTAATTGCGGCAGGCAAAGTGCAACCGAGCTTCGTCACGAGTCTTTCTTGACGAGTCTTCATGTCGATTAGCCACCTATGATACGAGTACATCGCTCAATAGGAAAGACTCTTACAATGATAATAATTCATGAAGCAACTAGTGTGGCAGCCATCGAGATGCCTTGATAGACATAATTTCATTGGCCGTAAGTTACGCAGTAATTAGACGTACCTGGACGGGAAGCGACACTGATCTCCCCGTACCTACTAGCGCCAGAAACCATTATTGGTGTGCCTCAAACTTCAACCCCCCCAGTTGTGTTTGCGATCGCCAACACATCGTGGTGAACCACAGGAAACGATGCTTCTCAAACGACTCAGCAACGTGTACAACATAGCAACAGTAGCAAATTATTGAGACGTCTATCGACGACTAATCCCTAGATGCAAACGCTAAAAGTTTGAGCAGTGCTGCCTCCATGGTTCACTAATATCCCCCTCGGGAGGTGACAACTGATAGAAGAAGGGACTAACTCTAGCTGCATCAAATCACCGTCCATCAATGACACTTCAGCTGCTGTTCTACAACACCCCAAACAAGCCCTTTCATGCCTCCCAAAGTCAAGATATTCAGTCTCGAGTCACGATATGTAAGTCCTCCAGAGTCAGATCTGGATCCAACGGCGTGAAAGATGAATTTCCCTGCAACCCCTGGCTAGATATTCATTCACAGTGAGCGATTGGTCGGGTGGCGCTAATCCAGCAATGGTTGATGATACTATAAAGTTTGGTGGCTTGCAGGGTGGCCAAGCCCGCCGACAATCACCATCACCGCCACATTTCCCTAGCTTCAACGATTCATCCTCATTGACAGGTGTCGACTATACATGTAAACCGTACACGCAGACTTCTTCTCTATAGCTCGACGGCTTGCAGTACGTCTACATGCCTCTCCAGAGGCGTGATAGGCCGGATCAAGACTCCGGGCCGCAGATCATTTCCCGCCGCGCCGAGGGCCGCAAGGGAAAAGAAGCCAGTGCCACGTTCGAACTCAAGAACCCGCAGACTCAGCTACAAAGTGCAAGACATTCAGAGAAAAAAAGTAAGTAAAATCTCGGCTGAACGAGGCTCAAAGTTTTTGGTCCTGCTTTTTTTTTTTTTTTTTTTTTTTTTCTCCTTTTTTTTTGGACATGCTGATCACCAGGCACATTTGCCATCCAACCGTTCATTCCTAATCCAGACGCCACGACTCTGACGTGAGAGGGGAAGACCGAGTTACACAAGACAGGGCTCGGATTTTCCGCCTTGCCTGCTACGCCTGCCTGCCAGCCCGACTCTGGGGGGCCGAGTGAAGCCGTGGCGGGGCGTTGCGCATCTCAGCCCTCCCGTAGATGGCTTGTTTATTCCGCCCTTTCGTGGGCTGAACATGAATCAAGCAGAGGCTGCGGAGGAGTGAGGCCCGCCGCCATCCGATCAATATCGGACTTCTCGTCTTCTCCTCCCCTTCTTCCCCTCCGTACACGCCGCCCGCACATTCGAGACAGTAGGCTTAGGTCTGGTGACATATATCTCACTTGTTGCATCAGTGACATGTCGGGCTTCACAACGTTGCGGGGAGGTCTTAAGCCGCAAAGCGGCGACATATGCCGTTGAGGAAGAAATTCCACTCAACCTTCACCGGCGATAGGTATCTATACATTTGAATTTTATTCCTTTCTTCTTATTATTATTTTATCTAAATAATTAGCACAAGTCAAACGGAATAAAAGTAGTAAATGCCAGCAGTCCAGCCCCAGGTTATAGAAGGCTTCCCAATGACAAGATCAAACTGGAAACAAAGCAAATCTGTAACTTACACCGCTCCCCGCCATGGCGGACGCCGACGTGGCCGTCACTGCGACCCGCGCGTCATATTCTCATATGTCCGCCCGCTTGCCTGCCGCCGGACGTTGACGCGCCCCCCCTCTCCGTCCGTCCCCTTACCTCCTCCCCGGTTCCCGCTGCTGCAGGAAAACGAACCTGCGCGCGCGCGTTGCTGGCTTCGATCTTCCGCCACTACTGTATAAGGTACGGATAACATCTGTAACTGGTTTCCCCTACCTTACATGTACCGTGCAGGAAAACCTTGCATGGAATATCGTATCGTATCGCATCGCGTCAAACGTATTGCATTGGATCTCAATAGATCGTGCTATAGAAATAGATATGCATGCGCCCTCACCGCTCTCCCACACCCCAGACCTGCGGGAAGGATTGTCATCATGCTTCAGCCTTCACCGTTCCCCGTCCCGTTTGATTCCAAGGGTGAGAAGAGATTGATGCCGATTTCAGCTGTGCAAGTTACCCTGTTCAGGATATCGCACATTACGTCCGTAGAACTTGCCCGCCGAACCATTCATATCCAAGATAAGCCATGCTGCTACTGCACCAAGCCGTGCTCTATTGCCATTGAAGAATCATCATCACCGATTTGCCCGTAAGATTTCTCGATCAATGGTATTCACAGATACAGTCGACTATTGTTTATCAACCGCCTGAATGACAATCAACCCAAACGATGTCCAACCGGGACGATGAAGCCTACTACCGCGGAGAAGACTCCCCGGTTCCCCATGTCTTGGCTTTCCTCCAGCGTGGCAGTTGTCTGATAAAAAGCAAACAAACATGGCTGGAAGTCTGGAACTGGGGTTTGAGCGTATGCTCTGGCCGGACATCGAGTGAATGGCAACGTCACCTGCGCCAATACAGCATCCCCCAAACACAACTGTCGTGGCTTGTCTGTTGCTCAAGAGGAGTTCAAGCATGTCGTCTGTCGGAAAGCTACTGGGGATTATCCACAACAACACAGGCCCAGAGATAGCGACACGAAGCCATTCGCGAATCCAAAACCAATACGTCCCACACCACTCACAAACACAACTTGCGCCCCTTGATCTCAACCACCAACGTCGCAACCCCAGAAGAACGGTTGACTCAAAATAAGAAACGACGCACTCCTACACAACAAGTTGCAACGGTCTCCGGTCTGCCGTCACGCGCATAACGTCCGTACCGCGGACGCGGACCCAGCTGCACCTCATCGAATTTTACCCTGCTTTGCATGCCCTGCTCATGCCCAATGCCCCAAAGAAAAGCCGTTCGCCGTTTGGAGTTATTCCCCTCCAACATCGCTGCAATCCTATCCCCAAAGAATGCTCCAAGCCCCCGTCCAAACTCCCCTCTCTCTCAAAATAACCACTTCCTCCAATGACATCCCACACAAACCGCAAAGACACATCCCAAGAAGGGAAAAAAGCCAATGCCCAAGACCCCCTTGTCATCCGGGGAAGCTCGCCAGTCTCTCCGCGGGTGGAGACAAACTCAGGCCTGTCCCGCGCGACTCGCCGTCACAAATGACGAGATGGGTAGGTCAGCTGAGCATTCCCGAAACAAAATCTGACAGCATGGGGATGGGCGGAACCGTGAACGCGCCTATACGCAGGACGCAATCACCAACTCTATCCCGTTTCGCTCTATCCATCTGCGCACATGGAGTCTACTAGTCGTTAAGCTTCTCTCATCGGGAGCTGTCATAACCCACGACGAAAGAATGAGTAAAGATCGTCACTTTATCAAAATGCAAGGTCATACGCCGTTGCCGTTGCCATTACCGTTGCCGCATGCCGCCGCCGCCGCCGCCGCCGCCGCTTCAGGTGCCGCCTTTCCCTTTCCCGTCCTCCCTGCGCGCCAAACGCCGAACGGGGCTATGGACATTGAAAGCTACGTCTGCCTCCTGCTGAAAGATCGTCGGTAAAGTGCCAGAGCAACCCCGGATCGTCGGGAAACGGGGCCACCCCGTTGAACGACGTGAATGCATCTGTGAGGTATCCGTAGTGGCTATTCAGCTTTGCATGCATTCTCTGAAACTGATTTCCAGATTTATCATGATTTGATGGCCCCCTTTGAAAACCTAAAATGCTAGCAGAGGAGAAAATGAGGCAGGATCTTGTGAATTGTGATAGAAACAAGTCATGTCTTTTTTTGCCCGCGTCAAACGCCGATTTAAATGCGATATGAACTTCCAAGCCGGCGGGACGTCGTTATCCGCAAGTTGACCTATCTAAACTTGACCAACCAAATAACGCAAAAAATGAGGAACGATGGTAAACGACGACAGAAAAGCAAAGTCTGATACAATTTTGCAAATAGTAATAATAATAATAGTAGTAGCTTACAATAACGCAGTAATTCACGCTCCCCACGTGTTATCCCCTCTCCGTCCTCACTGGACCAAACAATTCCATACCACTGCTCAACACCTCTGATACGCAAAACAACACGGCGCTCAGGCATAGCAAGTCGATACTTGGTCGACCGCCCCCTCCCCTTACTGAGGACCAAGGTAAGGTGATCGACATAACCACGGCCAGGGCGATATCAGCTCCCCCATTTCTCAGCGATTAGTATCCTTGCCAATCTGTGAACAATCCCTCGGTGTCGAGAGAAGCCTAGTAAACCCGCACACCCCGTAGCTTGGACTATTGCATGAAACGCGGGACATGTTGAATTTGGATATCCCACGTCTTGAGGGCTGAAGCATTTTGATTAATAACAATTAAAAAAAAAAAGATGAGCGGCGGCAATTATCAAAAAATTGACCGACTCGAGACTGTCTCCCCCCACGCGCAAGACCACTCAGAGCTGGGAAAACGACCCATCATTCCCATGATACATCATCCCCTTGCCCACCAGATTTTCGCATCTCCGGCTTACACCACACAACCCAGTTCTCACCAAGCCAGAAACCTTCTCGAAGAAAGCAAAGAAGCCCCCCCCCCCCCCCGATATCCATAACCCAAGATAAGAAGCCTCACTTCTCTCAAACCCCTTCTCCATCGTCACGTAGCATCCTCGTACACCGCACCCCGTACCCCGTACACCGCCTAGATTACCTCTCCGGCCGGTAGACCTGCATGTGTGTGCGCCTTTGCGTGTCCGCGCCTGTTTGCAAATCTCCTACGTACAACAGTGACTTTAGCCAGCCCCGTGTGGTTACATGCAAACCAACAACCCACCCGACAACCCAGGGGTCCCGAAAGAAGTTGGTGTGCAGCCTATATGCTACAGCCTACCACGACGGTACCAATGCCATCCTGCCAATGCCATATGGCTCCAAGGTATCCGTACCAAGCTGTTGCGCGTGGGGGGCACGCAAACCCCGGAGCCGGAAGTAGTTTGCACACACTCTGTCTCTCTTTCTCTCTGCACTGAGAGCATTGGGAGGGGACTCAGGGAGGGAAGGGCACTTTGTCCAACCGCGCGTGGGGGGGCTCGCCATCCCCCATGCCTTTTCGGACGGAAGAGTCGCCGGCCCGCGAGCCGCCGCTGGGCTTTTCCATCGCGCATTCCGTTCTGCGCATCTGACCGCCGCCTTCAGTCACGTAGTACAGCCCGTGGGAAACATACTACGATCCTCATCAAGCAAAGTGAACGACTGAACGCAACAAACAGAAACGAGATGCAAGTCTCAGCATAAGGTGACACCAAGTCCGGTGTACGGATAAAGATTTCAAAGCAAAACAAACACGCAAACGTCCCCGTCGACTCGGAAATCGATAAGATCGTGATGTTTCAAACGCCCTCCAAGCCGCGATAGCAGTCGACTCGCAATACACCAAGCATTTCTCGAAATCCGCGAACTACCTACATCCCGCGCATCCCAAGCCCGATAATTGCAACAAAGCCTACTCCGTACCGACCGCGAATCGAGTCAGCTTCGCCTTGGCCCAAACGAATAGTTGCCTCGCTATCTCGGCGCCAAAAACGGACCTTGCGCTCGCTCCCCAAATCTTTGCTTTTTCGGACATCACCAGCTGATCCGGCCGCGGGCGGCCTAGGAATTTCCGCAATTCCTTTCCTGAGCCTGAGTTGCTTCACAGACAGATTTTCACACAAGTTTCGGGGCCCAGCGCGCCGGAAGCGGCCCCGTCCGCCGCCGACTGAGAAGGGCTCCCGCCCCCCACATTGCTTTCCCGTTGTGGAAGCCCGATTGACAAACCAACCCCCTGCATCGCGTCCGGGATGGCGGAGGCACACACACCATTTCTCTCCTTCTCTGCTATTTGGTCCCGTTCCCTCTCTCTCGCCCTTACGTACTTGTATCTATATGCGCAGATGCTGGCGATGATGTTATCAATCACCCTGTGGCTTCCCACCATCTCTGGAGCTGGAGGCGCGCCGTAGGGATCGCTAGGCACAAACTCTATGCTCCAGATACTCCCGAGGCCAAGGTTCCAATCTCTCGGCCGATGCGACGTATCATTTCGCAGTAGCCGACAAGGCGTGCGCAAACAGCGACCTAGTGGAAATAGACGAAGAAAGGAGAATCAGATATGTGAGGTCAAAAGTCAAGTGTGAACCCGGGACCCGGCCATTTTCGTCTCATCATGGGTGTCGTCGTCCAGTCCCCTGGGAACCTTTGAGAGAAGAAGAGAGTGAGAGACAGAGAGAGTCAGAGGGCCATGTCGCAATTGTCGTCGTTGGAGATGCCTTGTTGGACCCGTTTGCCCAAAGAACCACACCCTTCCCCTTCCCCTCTCCAATCTCCAACTCCCACACCTTCTCACCCTTCACAGGCATTCTCCTCACCTGGGCGGAACCTGGGTGGCCTGGTGTGCTTGTGTGCGGCGAAGCGAAGAAGTACCGCAAGCCAGGCCGAGGTGTGCGGGTTTTCCTGAAGCGCCCAACCAACCACATTAGCAGTGGACCATGAGTGGTGGAGTGTCTACGCCGTCCCCGGTTCTTGGGATTTTTGTATGATTTATCGCCTTCCCAATCCCTCTACCGGTGACCAGGTGTAGCAAAGTCAATTTGATTGGGATGCATCAGTTGGCCTTCCAGAACCGGGCCGCTTCCCCCCCCCCCCTTCCACCTCCGGCCGAGGCCAACTTCAGGTGAATGCTCCGTCCTTTCGTGAATGATGGCATGGGGTCATGGCCCATGGGATATCGGTTTTCACCCATCCCCCCGTCGGCCTGCCTGTCGCAACAACTCGCAACACCATGGGTATAGTCGCAGCCGAGGGAGGGAAAGGGAGGAGAACCAACAGTCCAGTTAGTTTAACGACACTCCTGACAATCCCACGATACCAATAATCCGGGTTGTTGGAACCAAGCCGTCTCATCTTTTTTGGCCATGTCTATTTCGTACGAAGTACACTATCCCGTACGGATATGCCCCCCGGCTCGAGGGCGCAACTTGCACCGAACAATTGTTCGTCGCGCCATCGGTCTTTCGATGGAATGCTCACCGGGTACCCAGTTCGAGTATGGCTTGCGCCGTGCTCTTCATCTTAGAACCCATGCACACCGGCACCCGGGAGTTTGGGAAAGAATCAAAGTGATTAATTCCTCGTGAAAGCTTCTCCCCCAGCACCAACGGCGCCGTTGGCTTCGGCGTCGCGTGTTGTCGTATGCGCAAGCGATATCTTTACAAGGCCAGG